CAGTCGGATCGGTATTATTCTCCCATTCCTTAAACACTGGCAACAAATCCTTATAACTCCAACCGACAGCACCGTATGTATTGACCCACTCGTCATAACCCCGACGATTACCCCGATTATAGACCATCCCATTATGTGTAGTACTACCACCCAAAGTCTTACCTTTGGGCTCCCTAACCCGCCCCCCAGGGTATTGAAGTCCATAATTAGGTCTGGGTTCCGAATAATAGTTCCAGTAATTGATACCATTAGGATATATGTAGCTAACCATTCCGGGTATGTCGTTATAAATAGCACTTTGAGCACCTCCTGCCTCAAGCAATAGCACCCGCACTGACTTGCATTCACTGAGTTTGTTGGCCACCACAGCACCGGCAGCCCCGGCGCCTACTACTATAAAGTCGTACGTATTATCCCACGTCTCACGTGATGCCGTCCTGTCATGGATTAACTGTCTCTGAGCCGTAATCCATGAGAGCGCCAGTAGTTTGTATGTTAACAAAGATATTGCGACCATAGTTTTAAATTATATATTTTTACAAATACTTTTATTTGTTTATTGTAGCAATACTGTGTTGTTTGTATGTCATAATTATTATGAAAAAACATTTTGTTTTAGGTTATAAATAGATTCACAATATGTTGATTTGAGGGTAAATTAGTTTAATTACTAAAAATGTTTTTATAGATTACTAATTTCATTTCAAAATCTTGTCACAAACTACTAAAAATAAATTATATCTAAAATATTACATTTATCTCAAATTTAATATAATTTATGATTTCCATAACAAATTAATTAAACAGGCAATATAATTAATATTCTTAAATATTGATGGATAGTTATATTCATAAAAGCTACCATGGTCATTAGTATTAGTACTATTATCAGTACCTTCATTGTCATTATATTATAGTTATTCAAATTATTAGACCCAACGAAATCTTTTAATAAATATAAAATTATTTCATCTCAATGCAATACTTTATCATATTGATCTGGATTATCCTGAACACTAAAAATGATTTATTATAAACCATAATACTGTTTGATAAATTGGGCGCATTTATAGCCCACAGTTATAGTGGGGGCCGCGGTGTTGGAGTTGGGAATCGTTGGGAATATCGATGAATCACAAACCCTAAGGTTTTTCACATTTTTAACCCTCAACTGTGGGTCGACCACAACATCGGGTCTGTCTATTGAGCCCATACGACAACTACCCCCGGGATGATAGGAAGTTGCGCTATAGTATTGTACCAAGCATTTCAAACCTTCTGTACACTCATACATATACCTCCCCGGGCATACTGGACAGCCTATTTTGGCAAATAAATCGGCGGGAGGTTGCATATCTGTAAAACTTTCATAACTGATGATGAGATATAAACAACTGTCCACCACAACGGGTCTTATACCTGAAATGTTGGATAACTGTGCGAACTGTGGGTGTTGGATAAACTGAGTTAACACTCAATAACCTGCAGTGTCGGGCCATGAGATCACCGGACAGTCGGTTTGAGTTCAGTTTCTGTTGGAAGAGGACTGAAGAGCAAAGCAAAAGACTGGAAAACAATCAGAATTTCACGAAATCCGACATATTTTGGCCACAATTGCTATCATTGCCCAAGAATTTAGTCATATATTGTCGCGAGTACTTCACGGGCAGGTGTGGCACTATAAGGGTGTCTGAGCGTCATATGTATGGACAGCTATTTGTCACTAATAAGACCAATGACCTAAATGATCAAGATAATGAGCATTACCTCATGGATAGAAGCGAAACCAGTTATCACACGAAAAAAGTACTGTTATTTTGATGATGTGGATACAAAAATTTCAAATTACTCTAGAATTGCAGCAATAATATTCTGTACCATTGAACTTATATCATTGTTTGATGGCATAAATTTGGTTATTGTGTGTTGGTGGACTTAGATTCATACTAAAACACACATATTTGTCATAAATAATTTATAAAACTAATTAATTTAACGAAATTTGCAAAAGATTTGCCAAAAATTGTTGCCAAAGCATGTTCTGATAACTGTCTCTTTGGATATGGATTACTTCGGTACCACAAATAATTGTGGACTATTTATAGCACTTAAATGTAGATGAGATATTATTTTAAATAGTAATACAGTTATTTTTGAAAATATTAATGATAAACATTTTAATTAAGTGTGAATTAAAGTGATCCAGGGAAATTAATTACATTATACTGCACACTACAAGTACTACAAATACAATATATCAACATTGTGATTTCAAATCAAATCTATCGCTACATTATTTCAAATTATAAGCATCTTTGATCAATTGCGAGCACTTGTAGCCAACGGTTATAGATATAGCGGCGGTGTTAGAGTTGGGAACCACTGGGAACACCGATGAGTCGCAAACCCTGAGGTTCTTCGCGTACTTAACCCTCAACTGGGGGTCGACCACAACATCGGGTCTGTCTATTGAGCCCATACGACAACTGCCCCCGGGAAGGGTCAATACATACGGTGCTGTCGGTTGGAGTTATAAGGATTTGTTGCCAGTGTTTAAGGAATGGGAGAATAATACCGATCCGACTGTTGTCGAGAGTAATCCCGGATATCACGGAACTCGTGGACCCATTCAGATAACAACCCCACGACAACCCAGTCCTATCATCTATACATTTAAAGAAGCATTACTTGAGTTGGGTTATCCTGAAACAGATATCAATGGTCAGGATCAATTTGGAACTATGATTATGCAATCGTTTATCACAAGTCAAGGGCTAAGGGCGGGAACGGGTAATGCATTCGTGGACCCGAATCCACACGAAGACAATCTGCATATCGTTTGCAAAGCATTGGTCTCAAGAATACTATTCAATGGGTTGACAGCTATTGGAGTGGAGTTTATTAGGAATGATATCGAGTATAGAGTTTACGCTAACANTTGCAAAGCATTGGTCTCAAGAATACTATTCAATGGGTTGACAGCTATTGGAGTGGAGTTTATTAGGAATGATATCGAGTATAGAGTTTACGCTAACAAAGAGGTTATCGTTTCCGGCGGTAATTATTACTCAAAAATATTTATTATTTTAATTGAATAATTAACTCATTTTTACCTTTAGGTGCCATAAATAGCCCACAATTACTAATGCTATCAGGAATTGGTCCCAAACAGCACTTACAAAGCTTTGGTATTTCAGTATTACTAGATCTACCGGTTGGTGACAATTATGCAGTCCATCCGGCAATCTCAGTTTCAGCCAATATTAAACATGAATATCTAAACATGGTAAATCCAGTTCCAGAGCTAAATGTGCAACAATTAAGTGAACTTTATTGCCAACAAAGGGGACCGTTATCTGAAGACCCCTCGTGTGCCCTCTATTACAACACCCGTAATAATATTGACAATCAGTGGCCAAACGCACTGTTATTTGGATTTCCAGTTAACAACACATTTATTGTGTATTTAAATTTAGTCCGATTTAAAAGTCGGGGAACTTTACGTTTACAATCAACTAACCCTTACATACAGCCCCTCCTAAACCCCAATTGGTTGTCACACCCCGACGATATGGTAGACCTATTGAAAGCCACACGACATATATTTTACATACTGGAGCGATCAACCATTTCCAATTATATTCAACCTCTCGATTCATTAGCCGAAATAGGCTGTCCCGTATGCCCGGCCAGGTATATGTATGAGTGCTTTGAAGGCTTAAAGTGTTATATACAATATTATTCCGACAGTTCCTATCATCCCGGGGGTAGTTGTCGTATGGGCTCAATAGACAGACCCGATGTTGTGGTCGACCCACAGTTGAGGGTTAAAAATGTGAAAAACCTTAGGGTTTGTGATTCATCGATATTCCCAACG